AAATTCCATAAATGTTGCCGACAGGAGTAATAGCGTGTCGAAGGGCTTCCAGAACTGATAACTCCAGCATGAGGAGGAGAATGCATGCATAGGACTGTCTACAAAAAGGCGAGGGATGCCCCTGTTAATCGTCAGTGGGTTGCAAGTCTTGCGACCGTGGACTGCATGCCATGATGGAACTGCCGACAAAAGGACGACCCCTCTTATCGTCAGAGTCCGATGCATATTTTATACACACAATTTTTCGTTTGTCGGCAATATTTATGCGGTTGTAATTCCCCCTTAGGGCCTGAGCGTACGTGTCAAATCATGCAAAGTAATTCCAAGACTCGGTCTCGTCGTCATCCAAACAGTCACATGAACAGGCAGCATATGGAAAATTTCGAAGTGTTATTGGGAAACCTACGGATACGACAATATTTTTTATTTTTTATTTAAATTTGGCGGAACCCAGTAAAACTGACACTAAAAAAAAAACAGGTATTGTTGCAACATTCCCGGGAAAAATAAAATAAAAATAAAAATAAAAATGTTGCGACGCAACTTGGACTCGAACGATATTTCCGCGAGAAATCATCGAAAGGGCCCTATTTCTTCAATTAACACAATTTCAAATACTCAGATGATAACATGCGGCTTCCTTCACAACCACACACTCACAGAAACAGGCACCAAAGGGAAAATTTCAAATCCTCCGATGATACATCGAGTACTTTCAACACTGGAAGTTGTCGTCGTAATCTCAGGCGTCACCTTCTACCCCCTTTGCTATTCCGGCCCTACCTCCATCTGTCCTGCCACTCACTAACCTCCGCCTTGCGCAAGGGTAGGTACACAGAGTCTTGGAATTACTCTGCGCCCCTGCGACGGAAACTGACACTCACTTCGCTCCCCATTGCGCCCCTCTCTCTCTCTATTGACAAAGTCGCTCTCTCTCTCACACACAAACACCTCTCTCTCTCTCTCTCTCTCTCTCTCTCTCTCTCTCTCTCTCTCTCTCTCTCTCTGTGTCTCTCTCACACACACACAAACACACACACACACACTGTGTCACACACACACACACACTGTGACACACACACACACACACTGTGACACACACACACCTTTCTCTCTCACCCCCCTCTCTCTCTCTCACTCACACACACATCTCTCTCTCTCTCGTCTCTCTCATATTCCTATCTCTCTCACACACACACATGCACACTTACATACAGTATCCTTCTCTCTCTCTCACACACACAGTATGTCACCCTCTGTGTGCGTGTGCGTGTGTGTGTGCGTTGTGTCTGAAACTGACACCCACTTGCCTCTGCCTTGCCCCCATCAGTGGGGCAGGCCGGATTCGGTCGGGTCATGCTGGAGACTCTGGAGTCGGCCTGCCCCACTGAGTCCTCCTTGTTACCCATTCCTTCCTTGCCTTCGTCAAAATCCGTAGCGTGAGGATAGCCAACATCAACGACAACGAGCGGCGCGGCGCGGCGCGAGAAGTCTCGACTCTTCTGCGTCTTCGTCGACCGAGCAGGCGTCTCCGGAGAAAATCACGACGTTAAGAAATCCCCAAATCCCCAACTCCCCAACTCAAGGGAACGCCCGGTCACTATCGCTACACCTGGACGGAAAGTTGCCCCAAATACAGATCTGACGACAAGCCATCTTATCCAGGTAAAAACGCTAACATCCATTACTCGACAATCTCCCATCGTCCTTACCCGCTCTCCTTGTCCTTCGCTGGCGGCTCCATAGCCGAGCCAGCCGCCTCCGAGTCAGCCTGTTGAGTAGCTGTCTTCGACTCGTTCTCCGTTTCTTTCCCAGACTGGCTGCCTTGTTGCTTAATCTTGTCCAGATCCTCTAGAGATACCCCTAAAGCGTCTGCCTTATCCTCATCGGTAACCTTCTGCCCTTCATATCTTTCCGTTCCTGCCCCGACAATGGTTTCAGTGCCTACTCGCGATCTCTGCGCCGACATCTTTGCCGCCCTCAGTGCCCTTAGCCCTCCTCTCACACCCACGCGCTCTTTATTCTCTCCTTCCCGTGGTCCGCGCCTTCGTCTTCCTGTGAAGAACCCCGGAGCCGCCTTTCAATTGTCTCTCTCTTCTCTCCACATCCGTCACCCTTGCCTCGTCGCTCTCCTGGGTATGCCTCCACCACCTACCTCCGACGTATACCCTCGACCACTTTGTCGATTCTCCCCTACTTTCCCCAGTTCACGGTCTTGTCGTGACGAGCCGCTCTTTGCCGTGCAGAATCTGCAGATCTCTCTCGTTCGCTTCCTCTATGCGTCTCCCACCCCTTCAGTTCCTCCACTTCCACTAAGTCCTTACCTCCACAGCAACGCATTCACACATTCTCTCTCTCTCTCTCTCTCTCTCTCTCTCACACACACACACACACACACACACACAGCGAACACACACACACACACACCGATCTCTCTCACACACACGCACACACACATACACCCCGATCTCTCTCACACACACGCACACACACACACACACCGATCTCTCTCTGTCTCACAATCACGCATACACACACACACACACCCCGATCTCTGTCTCTCTCTCTCTCTCTCTCACACACACACACATCGATCTCTCTCTCACACACACACACACACCGATCTCTCACACACACACACATACACACCCGGATCTCTCTCTCTCTCTCTCTCTCTCTCTCTCTCTCACACACACACACACACACACACACACACCGATCTCTTTCCTGCACAGCAGCAAATATTCCACTCTCTCTCTCTCTCTCTCTTCGTCTCTTGACCTGGCCAGCATGCCTCGTCTGCAATTATTAACGTCAAAGCAGTAATATATACAATCTCTCTCGCTCTCTTTCACGGAAACACCCACACTCCTAGAGAAACCCTGTCAGCGACTTTCAGCATAGTCCGCTGCCGCCCGTAGTGGTGGTGTTGTCAGACACTCGGGAACAGTTGAGATCGCGAGTTGGTTGGCCTCACCACAGCACTGTCGAAATCAAACAAGTTCGAGTGCATCTTCACGCAGATCGTGGCAAGTTGCATCCTTTACTATGAATAGCAACGGATGCATCTTACCACTCGCTTGGGAAGATGCATTCGTTCTTGTTTTGATTCGACAGTGGTTAGGCGAGGCCCTGTATTCCGAGAACTTCGCGAGAAGGACTTCACATCTTTTCGGGGTCACCCTCCACCCCTCGCGATGCATAACCATTATTATTCCGCTTTTTTTTTTTTTTGTCCTGGAGTAATAACTTCACTGATACCACGCTCGGGCGTGGGGGCGCAGCCAGGTTGGCGGCGGACCGGCGACTAGTCTACGAGAGCTTCGCAATCTGCGGTTGCGGAAAATGGAAGGAACTCTAAAACAAGGTCGCATTCAGGGACTGAGGGAACTCATTGCCCCTACTGGACCTTGCCCCCCTACCCAATGACGGAGTGAAAAAGGGATACTACTGTGAAATGCCTCTATAAGTTGTGTTATATGCCAAAATGTCCCTAAAAGATCTGGGTAGACCAGAATACCCCTCTGACACGAAAACTACTTTGGGAAATGCCCCTGCCGTCGGTTGTGTCTGTCATCTTTGAAAAATATCTCTATCGGTGAATGTTTCAGCCAGAAGGTAAAGAACCGTACTCCTGGACTCGGTGAAGGCTGACAATGGCGTGGGCGCTGAAGGTAATAAAAAAGAAGGGGGGGGGATTCTTCTTTATTTCTGTTAGACTTCCACAAAGCTCATGACAGGCCCAGACAGGGTGACCTGGATGTGGTATAGGTATTATAGGCTATATTCACGACTTTGGGTCTGGCTCCACTACTCTAGAAACCAGCCATTTCTTGAGCTGGGCACAGCTTCACTAATTCTAGAGGCGAGGTCTGGAATTCGGGTTCTTGAGCTGTCAGTATCTACTCACGAAAATGGCAAGAATCCGTCCTCGCTCCACTACCTCATGAAACACACTCACCAGAACAATTTTCGTGAGTTGTCAGAACGTCCTCTCCCGTGGCACACTTGACTTCTCGCCTGCAGCGGCGGGAATTTCAAGGGAGGCAGCGAGGACCTTCAAAAGTTGAGCATTTTTATGGAGTGCACCTGGAGTCTGGGCGGACAATAACCTGGTGGCCGTGTCGTGTAGCTCTCTCAAAGAGCGGTCTGACATCCAAGAGGCCTTCTCGAGTTCTACCTTCTAGAGTAAGTGGAGCGATGTTCTCTTTTTCAGTCTTTTCTAGAGTCTGACAGCTCTAGACTCACTCTCAAAAATCTTCGAGAGTCTAGAGTAGTGGAGCGAGACCCTTTGCCTTCCAGCTTCGAAGGTAGTGGTGTTTTATTTTGTTTTGTTTTGTTTTTTTCCCGAGAGAGAGGAGGAGCTGGAGATGGGGAACCTCATCGACGTGCCCAGGTATGCATTTTGGTATATATCTCAACTTATAGGGGTATTTCACAAATCGTCCCAATAAAAAATCAGAGAAACAAACTCTCTCTCTTCCCCTCTCTCTCTCTCTCTCTCTCTCTCTCTCTCTCTCTCTCTCTCTCTCTCTCTCGCTCGCTCGCTCTCTCTCGCTCTCTCCCCCTCCCCCTCCCTCTCTCTCTCTCTCTCCCCTCCTCTCATACACACATGCATTTAGCATTTAGCGCAGTTACACTGTTCACTGTTTTGTCAAAGAGATAAAAAAGTATCATCCCTTTCCCTCTCTCTCTCTCTCTCTCCCTCTCTTTCTCTCTGTCTTTCTCTCTCTCTCTCTGTCTTTCTCTCTGTCTCTTTCTCTTTGCCCTCTGCGGACTTTCCCATAACCGTCTTTTCTTCCACGTCCTCATCATTTTCCCTCCTCTCGTTTTCTCTTTTTCTATCTTTCTCCCCCTCTCTCACGCACACGGTTTTTTTTTTCCTGTTTTTTTGTTCGCTGATGAACTGACCTTGTATGTAAGGCCCATGCTCACCTCTCGTGCTCTCTTTGTCTCTCTCTCTCTCTCTCTCTCTCTCTCTCTCTCTCTCTCTCTCTCTC